AATGCAATTTATCACTTGTGGTTGATGAGAATTAAAACATGTTTCATTTTCTTTAATATGAAACTTACAAAATAATAAAAATGTTTTCATTTTTTTCCTTGACATTTTACAATACTTACCAAGTGCTTTTTTCTTGTGTGTGCCTGCTCCTTTAGACAATTTCTTAGCACGCTTCATCATTAACTCTGCTGTGGTAGAATCTTTGAAACCCCTTCAAACAGGCAATTAAAAGTGGCATACATGCATTTTGACTGTCAACAAAAGCAATCCATAAATTTACAGTGTAATTTAAATAAATTCACTCCAAATGAGTGAATCTAAAGTAACTGATATGGCTGAATAACTGGAATGAGATCTCCTTATGTTAACACTATATCTGAACAGGTTCATATGGTATTTGTTTGTTGGTATCAAACAAAGATTTTTAAATCACTATAAATGATGCTACAGAAATAATAGAAACACAGCATGACTGGACATTTTAAAATACCATGTCCACAGAGCTATATAAATGGAACACAAGAAATAAGAACACAAGTTGGTAGAATACTGTTCTTCACGATTCAGTTTTATGGACAAATTTCTTCCTAAGTCAAGGAACACAGCCGGTTTATTCTTGTCTCTGAAATTATCCTTCAGGTTTTTCTAGACTTCCGAACTGATCATACATGTGCTACACTGCCATGGAACTTACAATGTACATGTATTCAATGTATTCAACCCATTATAAATTTCTTAAAATACTATAAGAATGACTGTATGTTACAATGAGTCATCAGTTGCTTGGTGAAGTTAACCAAAGAAAATATTTCGTCAATGTTTTAACTTTAATGAGCTCCTATTAATGGATTACAAAGTGACAAATATAATGAAAGCATTAACACACAACATCAAACATTTAACCTCTTGCTGCCGGGGAACCCCGTTTCGAGCACATGGGTTTATACGCAGAGACACCCCGCCTGAAATGGGTCAAAAGAGCTGGTCCGTATAACAGAAGACCATATTTGGAACAAAAGCCTGCCATCATTTTTAGGCTTGCATTTTTCGAAGATAATCCGTCACTGATTTTAAACAGTATACCACTGTTTTGGGCATAGTGCACCCGTCGATTAGCACCACGGTCAAAAGTGCTCCAGGGCCCCATTGATGAGCATTGATGATGCCACTCGCATTAACTGGGGACAAAGGAAATTACGCAATACCTCACAATTCTGGGCTCTCTTTACAGGGTGGCAGGCCTGGCTGAAATATTCAGGAGTCAATGAAGGCTACCTGTCAGCTTAGAGTAGCCACCAAACAGTCATTTGTGTGGGTGTGCCCACTTCTCACCAGTAAGTACCAAGTTTTGATGACATGCAGTTTGCACTATCCCTGCCTAACTCATGGTCTTACCATTCCTGTGATATCTGATCCTGTTTGTGACTCTTGGTTGTTCTAGGTGTATCACTTGCTGGACTTGAATGCACTGGTGGGATAGGAGGTTTGCTGATGAGATGAGGTGATGATTGACTATTTCTGCTAGTGTACACATTTGCTGGAGGTATGGGTGAAGCATACCAAGCTTGTCTTGGTGGTTCAGGGATGTCATGCCGAGTAAGTGCTTGGACTGGTTGGACTTGGGTCTGAGTAGCAGGTACACATGGATGAATTCTCGGTATACTGGGAGTGTCCGATGGCAACCATTCACTATCAACATTTGCCTGTACAGACATTAACATGGCAAACGCATTTACTGTTACAAATTCTGATTAACATAAAAATAACGTCAAGTACACATAGATGCACTGAGAAGTGTTTGAAATCACTATCGGCGAGACTTTTCAATTCACAATTTGAGATCACCTGTAAAGTACTCACACATCACACTTTTATATCCAACAACTTACTGCATTTAAGACCGACAGTGCACTTTTAAGTTTGTCTTGCAATGTTTACTGACCTTATGAAAATGTTTTAAAGCAAGCAGTGGATCAGCTCTTTACAAATTTTAACTTGTGACATACTTAACTTTTCTTAACTTTTATGTTAACTTACTTACTGTAAGTTAACTTGCAATAACACCATGGGGTGAAAAGTAGTCTTATTCCACATTTCTATTTTAAACTTAAGGAACTGTGAATGTTAATAAGGGAATTCTAACCTAATATCCGAAGAAAACAATACAGTATTAAAAAGACAAATGTGATTGACGCTTCAATGTTTATAAAACTATCAAATGCCATCACTGCATTGTCACGACTAATCCTTGGTTTCATGTCATGCATTTGATTATGTGACATAAATAATCAAGTACAAAGACTATACCTGTACCATGTAGGTACATGTATATCTCAGCAACTGTTTTATTTATGATTGATTCTGGTGCCAGGTTTCTTTGATCCAATTATTTCATCTTATTTTCTCAGCTTCTGTTGTGATATTACTTGCTTCACAAATCAAATGTGCACAGGTGCAGAAAGTTTGTTGGCATCCAGATTGCATCATCCTCACCTGGGCAAAGTCCCATGCTGCTGGATCAACCTCATCATAGAACATAGCTTCATCTTCATCCTCACTGTCATGGTAACGCACAGCTTGTCTGGCTAATGCTACCATCTTCCTGACTTTAAAGCCTCTCCACAATGCCTGTGCATACCAAGAAACACAGACATGCAGCAACAATACCAGTAACACTTGAACTCATCAATGACTACTGATAATAATCAAGATCAATTAATCAAGGTAGGTGCTACACCCTGTGCTGATGAATTGCCATGGATTCCATAATGTTAAAGTATACAGCATGGATCCTGCAATCTAAACTGACCAAGTCTGGTCTATATGGCATAGTGGAATATGAGAACATCAATAGCCTGTGTAAATTATCTTTTTGGTCAGTATTTTGCTTCATTACTTTTGGTAATAATCATTCTGGAAGTCATATAAATGAAAGGAGATGTCACATTAAGAAATACAGGACAGAATTTCCTAGCCAGATCCTTTGTAAACAGACAGCATCATCCAGAATTCACCAATACTCACTGAAAGTAATTCCGTTGTTTATTACCATATACAAGTATGCAAGTAAAATTAAGATAAATTCTACATACATGAGTAACATTATGATCAATTCTAAACAATGTTTATGACACTGCTAACTCTGATAAACGTCATTAGTAAGCATCAGTGATAGAGGTCTCGAGACCAGTCTTGGGACCACTTTTTGCTGGTCTTGGTCTTGATCTCGGGAGCTGTGCTCTCTGTCTCGTTCCCTTATGATCTCGATAATGTGGCTGGTCTCGAGTCGAGACTGGCAATATAGCATACGATCAATTACTTTACTTTACTCTGTCATGTCTGTGTTTTCTTCAGCACCGTGGATAAAACCTGTTCATTTCGTTCGCATTTTTCAGTACAGTTGATAGTTCAAACATTTGTTAGCCCACAGATCATGCTGTCAACCCTGTTAATGAATTGTTATACATGTATATCTTGGTTCGGTTGTAATTTTGTGTCTCGTTTGTTTATTTCTTGTATTGCTGTTTATTATCCTCGGTCTCCGTCCACTTTGAAGGGGTTGGTCTCGGTCTCGCAACTTCAAGTCTCGGTCTTGGACTATCCGGTCTCGACTACAACACTGGTAGGCATTGTATTACCTGTATGCGTAGAGCTGCCAAGTACTGTTTGGCATGGACATCAAGGTTTCGTCTGACCAAGTAGCCCTTCCACCGAGCCTGAATCACTGTTGCTGCATGACTAATGTACATAAAACAAATCAAAAGGTTTATAGATTCTGCATAGAACAAATCAGCAATGAAGGACATAAATAAGGTCCTGCAGTATGCAGTTTAAAGAAGTCACACCATATATTTATATTTCATTCAGTCAGTTTTTAGTGAATTTCACTAAGTTTCCAAGGGACAAAAATAATAAATGCTTGCATTTGAAGTAGGTTAATCAATACATTATACTGACCACAAAAATGTCAATATTTTGAATCCTTGTGTAGCAGGGTAAATATCCTTATATAATGGAAGTTACCTCATGATTTAAATCTGTGTCATATAACTTTAAAAACATAAAAGGACAGAAAATCTGGCTTAAGTAAAAGCAACGGCTCGAAGGTCACACCAATCAATCTTCATTCCAAGAAACTATTATACAGAGCTCACCTGTTTTGTTGTAGCAGTGACTGAGTACCTCTGTTTTCATCTATGTCTGGCCGGCAGATTACAGCAGATGTTGGACTAGGACCTACAAAATGGGTCTGATGAGATGGATCTGATATGCTTGGATGCTGCGTTACAATGGAAGAAGTTGGGAAGACATCAGGTGCAGGAATGCAATCCATGACTGCAGGTTGCATTTGGTCACATGATGAAACACCCGCAATGAATTCCATAGTCTTTGTGTGATCAACGGTAGGACTGTGATCACAAATCTTGGCACTATTAGCACTATCCTGCCTTCCTGGTGGGACGTTAACAGTGTCATCTACAGGACTATGGCCACTAAGTGCTCTTTGGGCATTGCAATCCTTGGTGTTGCACCCATCTAATGGTGTTACATTGGAAGATTCTGTCCTGTATTCCTCAGTATTTGTTTGCATTGATATATACTCATAAAAGATGGCTTCTTGACTACATGGTAAAGCATGTTGAATCTCTGCCAAGTCAGCAGTCTCATGCATGCATCGATGTGCAATTGCTTGCTCCAAACTACACTTCATATAGGCATCTCGTACTTGGTGCACTTGAAGGATGCTACTAGCAGATTTTCCCATTATGGACCTACGGATGTAAAAAAACTGGCAAAAGTTGATCGATTTCATGTCTGTGCACTGGTATTTTTTATTGGCAATGTCATCAAAGTAACCTACATCAAGATAAAACCATATTTTAATGTTTGTCAAAATCACAGGTGGTTAGATGTAAAGAAATGCGATCTCCATGACATGGCTTGGTTAGATGTACATTTGGAGCCAAGAGCACCTTGTAAGAAAATGTTATTGCTCAATTAAAGGTAATCACAACTAATGCAGATACTCACATGTCCTATTTTGACAGGTTTATCAATAGTCTTTCATTTCAACAACTGACGTTTTTCAGAGAGTTGTCATGTAGTTGTCCATGTTTTTCAAAGGCATGGGAAATAATCCTTGTTCCAGAGTTTTCTTTGTTAAATCTTGCTCAAAATATTTTATATTACCATCAAGTCACTGTCATACTGTTACGTTACACTTATGAAATAACAGGACGAAACTAAAAAATGGCTGCACTGTCAAAATTGCAGCTCCAGCCCGGGAATTCCCATGAGACTTAAAGAATGTCATGACCACGGATGATTACCTTAAAAGGGCGCAAGAAGTCAACATGATAGAGATAATTCAACAAACAAGAAAAGGGAAACAAACCTAAAACCTACAAACCTGACATTAGTTGATGAAACCCCAAAGCCCAGTTTAAGGTTGGACTGACATTTCAATAATGGTCAATGTCAGTGGAAACATTTCAAAGATGGTCAATAACTTACGCAGTATGCTGTTGATATGTTGTTCGTAGTTTATCCTGGACATGCAACTGTGACAGACACATTCGTTCCAATGGAGTCCTTGCAGAGGGTATAGACACAGGCTTCATGACAGCTTCATGATCAAGTACATGCAACCACGTCAAAGTACCCAACACAGTGCACCTGTCACAGAAACAAAGGTTTGTAGTCTTTCATAGGATAGGAAATTATGATACAGTGGGCAATTTCTTCACGTGACTAACATGAATACCACCACATACATGTACCTCAGTAACTATGTAATGGTGTGTGCTGCATTATGCTGAAGTGATGCACTTAACCTTTTGAGAGAAGCATTTGATGCTTACATTGTTCCAAGATTGCAAGCAAGGCCTGTAATTGAATGTGAACTCCTGCCCTCTGATGGTAAGGGAAGCATCCTACATGTACTTGGCTGAAAGTCTCTCAGCTTGTTTATTATTACTGAGAATTCTCCTATCAGACATGAGATTGAGAAGTTGCAAGCTGTATTTCAAGAGCACACATGCCTTGAATAGAAACCTTGAATAGAAACCCTCACACATGCATCATATATATGTGACCAGCTCCACAAAAATGGTATTATGGGACATTTTTTCAAAATGAGTTACATACATATTTGCTTTAATCTGGTGTAGGTTTGAACCTTGTGGCATTTTGCAATCTGGAGATATATCGATTTTTGCATAATCAAAACATACACATACAGAAATGCTTTCAGAGATAAAGCCCTTTAAACACAGGAAGTGGAAAAAGAAATCAGCCAAGAAGAAAGTCTCTTAAAACCCATTACAACAGTTAAATTTCTTGTATAAATTGTGAAAGTACTGATCTAATAGAAGCCAATAAACCAAGAAGTAAAAAATCACCCTCTCCACATTAAAGAGCCCTTGGCGTGAAATAACACAGCGTCCCTTAATACCCATTTTTGCAGCGGGTCACATACATGTATATATAGGCCAATTTCAATGCAATGCAGTACATGAAAGACACAGTCACTTCTACAGAGTTGATATGTTCAAATCTGATTCCTATAAAATAAACTCTCCACAAATGGTGCAACAGGATGTTTCCACACATTCTTGTTTTGTTCAAAACCAACATGCCACAGCTTACCTGTATTGATCTTCCTGAGTGACAGGGTTACCCTCAAGACACAAGTCTTGAAGTTGATAACATTCCCTCAAAGCCTCAACAATCACATTCATATCTGCAAGTTATTCCAACAATAAAGAGGGTAAGTCAAAAGGGCAGAACACAAAAATGATTAAATGTTCAGGAAATTAACAGTAACATAATGGAAGGACGTACAGAACAACCTCTTTAGGCAATGTCATAAAATGGCATGATTGTCAGATTCTGATTTATGACTGTGTTTGGACTAGTACAATGATTAAATGAATTACATGTAAATATTACCAAAGACGTGCAACAGGTCTCAGTTGCTGTAAGAAATTTACACGAATAAGCAGGTAAACTAATGAAAAATGATGTCATCTCAAAGAGAACAGAATCTTTCATTCTCAGAAATACGGCTCGCATCATAAGTACATAAGTCTATGGAAAGTTTTCCAGTCCAGTGAAAAAAATGGATTGCATTATTATCTTCAAAGCGTACCTGTACACCAGAATGTTTTGACAACAGGGTTGAACATCATACTGCCTGACTGAATCATGTTAATTCAGTATAACTCTTTGAAAATGTTACAATTCTAGAAAGTTTCCCGGTAGATTTCATACTACATATGATGATCCAGAAACTGCACATTCCTGATCCTAAACATTAATTTCCGTCAGTTTACCTGTTATGCAGTTGTGACTGATGTCAAGTCTTGTTAACATAAGACAATACTTTATGTCTGCTAGATCAAATATGCTGAAAGAAAAAAAATAAACACTGTCAACGCAATAAATTTCATTATCTATGCAAAGCTCAAATCCATAAAATGAATCCACAATTTTCAAGAATTTGAACAAACTGCATTAAATAGACAAGAAGCATGTTAAAAAAAAGATAGATTTGTTGAATTCTTTGAATAAATCTGACAAGTGCTTTGCTACTTGCAGGGTCTTGGGTAGAAGCGACTTGCAGTTATGACAGGAACAAGTCAACCGGTGATTTTTACCCATTAATTGCTTCCTTCACAATAATTACCACAAGGCTCCACAAAATGAGTCTTGGCATTTGTTTCTCTTTACATTTTTACACTTCATTATGATGCATCAGTCACTTTGACATCTTGATAAAAGTGGACATTACATGGGTGAAATCTTTGCCAGTTCCAACTGCCTTCCACTGTGCATGATTGTGTAAGGGGGTGTGATGCAGAAGTACTGACATGCTTGCAACTTAACATTCACTCTGTATGGTCAGCCACATTTGTAAAAGTTTATGATGGTTGCTGGCAGTATATTTACCCATTTTGTGCCAAAGAGAGATGCTGCAGCATTGGTAACCAGGCCTGACTCAATGGGGTAACATGGCTGATGCTGTTGTCACTCAATCTCAGATTGTTAAGTAACACATGATCCTGCACCGGAGGCATCTAACGATAGGAGAAATAATTGTTAGTCATGGCTCCTAACAGTGAAATATTTGATGTAAAAACAATTTTGACTTCAAGCTATCAATTAACATTGGACATTCAATGCCACAAAATGGTTGTCTCCACGTACATCTGCACACCTAGAACAAGACTTGGAATATACATGTAAACGTTAATGAACTGATAACAATTAACCAGCCCTACCTCAACCAAGCTGTTACTTTCTATGTTTAATCTTTGTAACAAGCAACAAGTGTGAAGTTCTTGTACAGATGACAGATGATTATGTGACAGGTTGAGATCTTGCAGATGAACTAGCTGGCCAATACCACTGATGCCGACTAGCTGATTATGACTGATGTCCAGATGAGTAATATTGGTCAGAGATTCCAAGCCCCCTGAAGAAATCACAAATTTTGAACACACATACTGGATTAATCACAACTCGTTTTGTCACTACAGCCTCCACAAAGGAAGCGTTTAAAGATGACCTCTCCCTTCTCATCAAGGCCATAGAGTTTAATATATGTGCTTTAAACATACATAAACACATTTGCAAATTTTGAAACAGCAGATCTGAATCTTATACAATTTTAATCTTTCCAATCCTAAACCATCTGAAACAATTAGCTTCAAAAACATAGCCATCCTAAATCTACGGTAACTAAATTCAATCATGGCAGTGAACATAACTTTTGAACAAACCTCTGGCAGAAGAAAAATGACGAAATACAATGAGAAAATGTTTGCACTTGGCAAAGGAACATGCTTAACAACTTTTAAAAGAGAGCCAAGCAGCACCCTCTGTTCCGGCTAATGTTTTTTTTGAATATTTTCTTGAAGCAAGATTTTTTTCTTATTAATGTAAGAAAGCGATTCTCAGAAAAAGGAACTAAATCTTTTTTAAGAAAACATTTAAGAAAATAGTTTTAGCAACAGAGTATTCCTTGAAATTTTGAATATTTAATACGAGTATACGATTCCTCCTGTAAGAAAATTACTTTTTTTTATAATACCTCTTTTCTTTAAGCAGATAATTTTCTTAAAAGAAATAATTTTCTTACAGTATTAACTGCTCAATATTTCAAGAAATATTTTCTTACCAAAAATCTATTTTCTTAAACATTTTCTTTAAACAAGATTAATTTTCTTTTTTCAAGAATGGCTTTCTCACAAGAAAATTATTTTTGGCAGTGCAAGCATGGGCATTGGTAGTTGATGTATAACTGCCCCCATAATCCTATAGCCAACAACAAATCAACCAATCACCAGCCCTACTGAGTTATCAATCACCAACCCTTTAATCTACTAACAGTTACCATCAATCATAACCTCCACTAATCTACTGCAGGCCAATATCCACCCGCATGTACTATTGTCACTTATAAGAACACAAAGTCCCAAACAAGCTACTAGTCGACATGATCGTGAACAAGACTGCATCTTCCCCTGTCTCAGATGTCCCCTTCAATATCTCTTAATTGTATTTTCCTCACCTGTTCGAGTAATATTGTTTTTGCATAGCTGAACATATCTGAGTTGAGTGCATCCATCTAGTCCATAAGTTGATGTTAGTTTGTTGTCTTGTAGCATCAGTTGGGTAAGCTGAGCCTTGTCCCAACAATGCAGTGCTTCAACTTTGTTATGCTGTGGATGAAAAATTCCTTGTGCACTAGTAGCAACACTGATACAAACGTACTTATAATATATCCACATTTATCTTATATGCCATAACCACTACAATGCATCACAAATCCCAAGGAACTCCAAAGCTGCAAAAAGGAGCCACCATGAGCTATGCGAAAGCTAAGCCATTGTTTAACTCTTCTTGCACTGTACTGGATTAATCTCAGTTTTGCTATGTAACTGAATTATTAAACACTTCTAAATACAATCCCCTCATGTAGGATACTTTCCATGTCCTGATTAATTACATGCACCTGTTTAAATGCTAGTTATACTCCTTAATGTTGCCTTTCCAGAAGAATGATCAAACAAAAGAATCTAGTCAACACTAGAACAGTATTATAACCACTTGCTACCGGGTGCTTTTTTAAACCGTTATATGTGCTGCCGGGCCGTTTTTTCATATTTTCGTTTTTCAAAAATCTTCAAACATTCATATCTTTTTTTCTGAACGCCTAAACCCCATAAAATGACTGCCTCGTGGCGAGTCTAGCCCTCACAAGCAACTTCCATTGACCCTTCCGTTTTGCAGCCACACACCCGCTCTGTATAGAGCCCCCACTGTGTAGTGTTACATAAGGACTCATTTGTTCCGGGCCTTGGCCCAGGGTGTTGCTATACTGCCGTGTTGCTATGCAGAGCATGGGGTTGTAGGTAGCGAAGCCAAGACGCCCGTAAAACTTCAACAGGGAGTCGTCAACGCAAATGTCCCGTCGAGGAATGTAGACAGTGGCAAACTTCTGAGCAAGATGGTCGACGACTGGGCGCACTTTGAAGAGGCGGTCAGCGCAGTCCTCCAGCATGGCAGTGTTATCGTTGAAGTGCAAGGACTGCAGGATGGCAAAGAAGCGATCTGGGGGCATGACGGACGGGAATAGGCTCATCTTCAGGGTGGGTGGTGGGGTGCTTCGCAATGCCCGTCATTATGCAAAGGCCCAGAAAGGCCTTCAGTTCTCTAGTGTTCAGATCAGTCCATGATCGCATGTGCTCCGATGTCGTAGCGGGCCTCTGCAGGGCATACCGGTTGGTCTCTTGCACTATCTTGTTGTAGAGAACGTCATCAAAAAACAGCTCAAAGGCTTCACTGCAGGTCGAGCTGCGATGCAGGTGGGGATCGACGGCACCACCATTACTTTAGGGGTGTAAGGTCTTTATCTGTCCACCGGAACGGTGTGGCACTGCTGCTGGTCGACGCGGCGTCTGTGTACGGGACTGTCTCTTGCGCTTGGCATATACCACCAAGGGTACATTACTGTCAATTTCTGTACTTGACTGTACTTGAGCAGGTGACGGCGGTGATGAAGACGAAGAACCTTTGTCTGAACTGAGATAAAACTCACTTTCACTGGAAGAACCGGACTCTCCGGATATAACTTCAGCCTTGTTGTCTGTGCTCTGAATAACACGATACCCAATATGAACACATGTAGCCACTGCACGGCGATTTTATTCTCAAGCAGCGAGGGCCGAGCCCTGTCTGTCAACGTGGCAAGGGGCAGCAGCGCCGGGCCGGGTCATTCATGGGGCGCAGGTGCATAATGAGCCCGCACAGCCCGCGCTTTGTCTTCAGTGCAGTGCAGCGATAATCCGCTACGAGCGCCCGGCAGCACAAACAATAGCGTTCTGCACAAACAATACATGGATTACCTCTGCTAATTGCAGCGCTCTGCGCTGAAAGAATACAGGGATTGATTGGCAGTGCCTGGCAGCTCTCAGCAGCTTGTAATTTTATTACAGGCTTTTATAAGTTTGGTCACCCCGGCTATAAAATAAAGTCCCAATTCTCCGGCCCTAGCAACCCATTATTGCCTAAGACCAATTTATTTACCTCCAATGATGGCCTAAACTTTTTAAGTGACAGCACCAAACTTTTTAAGAAATGCCCAGCAATTTTTTTTTTTTAGTAAAGTTCCGATTTCGGAGACCCCGGCCACAAATATAAGGCCTATGCCTCCGGTACCGGAGCCCCCGGCTGGAAGTGGTTAACATTATTTGCAATTCAAACTACTTAAAGACAGTTCACCCATTCCTACCGGTCAAGAAATCACAATGTAACACAAGTTGATAAAACACCAGCCAGCAACAACAGTGGCCCTGAACAATGACATACGTGCACACATACATGCATTTCAACTCCTACGATACATTGGTAGCGGGGTACTTGAGGTGATTTCACTGCGTTTGTTCTTTCCACAATGTTGCTTTGCTACCGTACGTGATGCACTGGCCTTTGTGTTTCCAAGCATAACAAGTGATAGTGGCAGAAACAAGTCATTTAACAGTGGTTTGTGATAATGGATAGGAAAAAAATCATTCATAATGGCAAACCACCAATTTCAGGACATTATCAGCTTCAAATAAAAACATATTTTTATTCCCTTATGTGTTTAATTGTTATGATATTCATAACATTATTCTTCAAAAAAAGGTTCTTCCAATCCTCTTTCTCTTTAACCTTATTAATCAAATTTGTGTTGATGTGTATTTGAACAAAGAATATGAACAAAGACAATTAACCCCTTGACGACGGGAATTTCTTCCCGAAAGCCAACTCCAAGAATTCCAGCCTCGCTTGGCCACAAAGGCCACCTGCCAAACCGCAATGCTTGGTTTGTGGCCCTGTGTGCTCTGCATGCTTTGAATTAGAACAGTGAAAAGGCTTATTGTTCAGTGGCATGCGGCTCTACTCACGCTTCCACATTCCAGTTGCCTCTTTTCAAAGTGGGGACTATTGTGAAACTGGTGATTATGATGCAAATTCCGTCTTTTCATTTCTGGGCTACACACAAAGACAATTACCATATACACAAGAGCCAGCATGATCTGCCTTCTTTCACTTTGTTCGCTCGAGCGTGGGCCAAAAATAATAGCCGAAAAGCGGGCTGAGGATCTCAATTTTTATGGCGGGTCTAGCCGCCTCCCGGCGCGAAGGGGTTAACCTTCAGTAAATTTAATCCAAAAATTATTCTTATAACCCAATCATATGCTAAAATTTGGAGCAGTCCTTTACAAAGTAAGCGCACATGCCTCAAATTCTTACCTGAAGATCTATATATGAGATATCAGCACATTGATCGAGACCTTCAAGCAGCACGACTCCACAGTGCTCAATGTGCAGACATATAAGACGAGGACAAGTTGTCAGAGATGACAGTGAAAAAGGCGGTGAATTCTCAACCATGACTGTGGTTACCTACCATTGTTGAAAAACAAAACATACAAATGAAATAGTTTGCCTTAATTTACCATAATTGGTTTGATAAATTTCAACGACTACAACTCAGGTTGCATTGCATTTTATTAACATGTATGTGTGCTTCATGGTAGCAGTTTACTTTGGTGTCTGATATGAATTCACATCTTTAATATATTATCAGCGCACTGGAAGGAGGAATGAAATGAAAATTGGGTTTTTTCGCTAAGATTTGAATATTAACTCAAAACTGAAAATTTCCTGATTATTTGGGAACATTTTACACATTCTCGTCATACGCAAGTAGAAAACCTTAAAATGGACTTAATCTAACTTTTTGATTGTACACAATTTGTGCTAACAGCCAATCAATTGCTAATACTTACAAATACATTTATTTCTTCTCATTTGTGAATGTTGCAGTAGGAATGTTGCAAACATTCACATGTAAAGTAGTTTTGTGTAGGGCTACAATAAGATGCTTTTTCTAACTGAAAATCCTCTACCTAAAGACTTGTCATGTCGTTACCTTAACCGTTTAATGTCAGATTTTCTTACCCAATACAGCTGCTGAGGACAGGGTATTTTGCCCACAAATTCTTAACTTCGCAATTGCACATTGACCCAACCAAGCACGATGTGTTAATACGTTGACAACAGAAATGAAAAAAGAATTCTTAAGCGAGTTTACACATCTTCTGTGGAATAAATAGCGAAAAGTATGTGTGTTGACACACCATCCCGCATCAAGTGATTTACAAAATGACAAGATTTTGTACTTGTGACTTTGCAACATGCAGAAGCACGCAAAAACACTCTTCTAACTGACCTCTTGACATTTAAAGTAGGAATCAAAATTTCAAGAAAGTAAGAAAGGCTGGAGTACATGTATCTTGAGCTATGAAATATTTAATATAGACTTTCTATAATTTTCAAGAAAGCTCTCAATTTGTACAAGTGTCAAAGGGTATACCCTTTCGTCTTTCTATTACCAATACTTAATCACTTTCAAGGGTTGCAATTTAATTACTACATTTGTTTTCTGAAAGGTATCACACGGAAACAAAACCTGATTTTATTTAAAAATTGTTGATCAAAGAACTCAGACTGTTGACAAAATATATCACATCAAAAAGTAACATCTATTTCAGTATCTTACTATTGCTAACCTCTTGAACATTCCTAGTTAGCAAAACAAATATAGTTTTGAAAAAAAAAATTAAGTGGAACTTAACGTTGACTGCCGACTACGTGTTACACATGTGCTAACAGGTGTACCGGATTCTGCCACTTTGAGTATACCCATAGAAAATGAAAGGTTTTGTACCATCAACTGCACACACTGGCATTGCTGATAACACAACAAATAGCCTGCCAGCAATGGCCAGGACACACATCTATTAAATGTTTAGGTTCAAATTATTGTTTTCCTTCTTTTTGCTGTACCAAATGAATCAGAGAAAAATGAGAACAAATTACCCATTCTTCCCATCCCGAAGCAGTTCAATCAATTGACAGTAATCAACGAATCTTATATATAATGTCTAAATCATAAGAGTGAACAAGTTCTTTTTTTTTCATTTTCCTCCCACTGTTAAGAAAAATAGTCCGTAACATGGTGTTTTTTTTCATGGACATATTTGTCAGTACACAAAACCCAAGGGCTCTCAAAACTGCTAAGAGCAAGTTGTCCTGATTTCTTTATACATGTAGTTCTGATTTCTGACTGTTCTGTTCAATCTGATTATCTGATAGTTCAATCTGATTTTCTGATAGTTCAATCTGATTTTCTGATAGTACAGTTGATTTAGTACACTTCATTGGATCACACAATGTTCCTTATGGTCAGCACTTAGTCACTTCATTTAGTAATAATGTGGCAGGAATGGCTTAGTACACATAACATATAATACAATGCCAGCAAGTCTAAACTTTCACAAAATACAATATAGAGTATGTTGCGTAAATGGTGCAGAAAATCAAACAAGTTCATCATCCCATTGCCAACCTACCAATTATCTCGTCGTTACACGGTACAAGATAACTCCATGCCGTTGCCAACCTACCAATTAT